ATAATCTATATGTACTCCTATTTCAGAATTTAAGCATTACTCCCTCTGTCCCGGTCATTTCTTTCGATTTTGACCGGTATCACAAATTTATGCAAATTTATGAAGGGGTTGACTTTCCCCTTATACCCTTGGCCGAATGGGGTAAATGAATGGGAAAAATTTGAGGTAAAAACTTTAATAAAGTGGGAAAATGATTAAAAGTAGATTGATTGACATGTGAATAGTAAAGACTATTCACATTTGTCTAAAAGTTGCTTACATAGAGGCGGCAATCCAAAAAAAAAGAGGGACATTAGTTTTTGGTTCCTTACATATACTACTCCCTCCTAATTCCCTACATACACACACGCACACTTCCATCACACACTCCACACACACGCACACTTACAGACACTGCACACACACGCACACTGAAAACAAAAAAAAAATGGCAGCTTCCATGGCTGCAATATCTTCCACAGCTGCAGCTTCTTCTTCTTCATTTTCTCCAGCTTCTTCCACACCAGGACCCCTAGACCTGCAAATAGTAACAACGGATGGTTATGGTGCTGTAGTGGGGAAAAAAAGGATTTCGAACGGTGAAAAAGAGCGCATAACACATGTACTCTTAATGTCCAGTAGGAGGGATTCTTAGGGGTACTTGAAAGCTCAGAAAGGTATTTTTGTCATACTTGCTGAAGAGTATGAAGTGTCCAGAAGAACTATTTCTGGCATTTGGGACACAGTTAAAAAGCAAGGTGTACAAGGTGATGCAGTAAATGTGTGTAGGAAGTACCATGGCAGAAAAAAGATAGAATTTGATCTAGGCTAAAGGGTCAAATAGGTACATGAACTAACTTAAAGTGTTCAATTAGCCCCTTATATAGGATGTTCTGATCGGCTGTCGCCAAATGGGGCGGTTCCGGGTGGAAAATTTTGACGAAAGTTTTTGAGCATCTTCTTCATTAAGTCTAGTTTAGCCATACCAAATTTCAGCTAAAAATTCAACCGGGAAGACAGTCAAATGATTTTTTGAAGATAACTGCGCAGTTAAACAGCGCAGTACATTTCGGAAAATGATTTTACTGCCTTCTCGATTTAATTTTTATCTGAAATTTGATATGGGTAAACTAGACTTAATGAAGAAGATGCTAAAAAAATTAATCAAAAAAATCAATCGGGAACTGCCCCAATTCACGACGCCGGACAGAACCTTCTAAATAAGGGGCTAGTTGAACACTTTAAGTTAGTTCATGTACCTATTTGACCCTTTAGCCTTTGATCTATCTGAGGTATCACAGATCCCACTGCATAAAAGGACTACTATAAGGTCCTTAGCAGCTGCCACCTCAATATCAAAGTCAAGTGTCCACAGATTGGTTCAAAGTGGTAAGATCAGAATACAACAAGACAACGCAAGGCCACACATTTCACAAGACAAGCAAGTTGGTTCAAGGACATGTTAATCAACACAGTCCTTCCAGCAATCAAGGAAAAATGACCTCCACAGTTAAGCAAAGAAATCATAATACAACAAGACAATGCAAGGCCAGACATTTCACATGATGATGCAGAGTATATGAGTGCTTCCATGGCTGATGAGTTTACAATCACCCTTACTAACCAGCCCCCCAATTCTCCAGACCTTAACATCCTAGACCTAGGGTTTTTTAGGGCAATACAATCTTTGAAAGACCAGAATGCACCCAAGACAGTGGATGAATTGTTACATGCAGTGGATGATGCTTTCAAACAACTATCACCTATGACTCTAAACAAAGTTTAGCTAAGCTATCCATATGTTATGATTGAAGTTCTGAAAGTGCAGGGAGGCAACAATTACAAGCTACCACACAATGCAAAGGATAGGATGCAGTCAGAAGGAATACTTCCAAAAACAATTGAGGTAGATGTTCAATTATAGGAAGCAACATAACAGATTCTAGGGCAATAAACAGGGGATACTAAAAGTCAGGGGAACTCCATACTTGAAGAAGATGATGATGATATTCATCTTCAGTGATGAAGTACATGTTCAGACATAATAGACCTTAAATTTTTTGTTTTTTGTACTGACCTTAATTTTGCAGGATAGACAGACATTTAGAATTAGTACTAACATCCTCAAACATTTTGTAATACATGTTGCATACTCAGACCTTTTGTAGAAGTACAAGCATAATCAGACATTTTGTAATAGTAAAAGCATAGTGATCTAGCAATGGTCATAATGGTTTCATCATTTTGGGACAAGAACAGCACACTCAGACCTTATGAATAACTACGTACAACATCAGTATACACACCACACACAAGTACTGATCATCGTATGGTACTGAATAAAGTACCATATCACATGGATCATGGTCATCATAGTATGCATAAAGTACCACTTCACAGGATCATGGTCATCACAGTATGCTTAAACTACCAAAATACTTTCATATGCTCATCATAGTATGCATAAAATACCACATGAGAGGGTCATGGTCATCACAGTATGCATTAACTACCCAAACACTATCATATGGTCATCATAGCATGCATAGAGTACCATATCACATCATAATGCTTTCATCACAGCATACCACTCATAATGAACCAATCATAGCAGTAAAGAACCAGTACACACAAGGTCTACTTTCATTACAGTATGCATAAAGAACCAGTACACACAAGGTCTACTTTCATCACAGTATGCATAAAGAATCAGTACACACAAGGTCTACTTTCATCACAGTATGCATAAAGAACTATTACACACAAGGTCTAGTTTCATCAAAGTATGCAAAGGGGCAGTTTCATGACAGTGTGCATAAAGGACCAGTACACACAAGGTATACTTTCATCACAGTATGCCTAACTACCATTTATAATACCAAACCACCATGTACAACCCACATGCATCACAATAAACATCAAAAAAACAATTTTTCATCATTGCTTCCCCCAAATTACACACAATGGACATAGAGTACAAATTAAACCATAAATGAAGATAAGGTATAGAAGAAACTCCCCTAATCTGTGTCCACGTCCCACATCCTTGTTTCCCATTTTGGCAAAATTATTTTTAGGAACTCCTCCAGTCGGGGACTTCTCCGAATAGGATGCATGTCAATGTCTCTGCGTCTTTTGAGCCATGCACCTCGGATGGAGTACCAATACAGGGTCATATGTGTCCAACGTCACCGCTTCCTCCGGAAGAACAACCTCTTCACTGTCAGGGACAACATTGTTCAATATTCTCCATACTCAAAGTATTAGGGTTTAGATCCGTAAAAATGTGAGGGAGGGGAGGCAGAAGGGTAGATAGATTTACATAGGGGAAGATGGAGGAAGTAAATGGGAGAGACTGTTGGAGTAATTGAGAGAGACGGATGCAGTGACAGAGAAAGTGGAGACGGTGGGAGTAAATGGGAGAGAGGGATGCGGGTGGGAGTAAATGAGAAAGAGAGAGGGATGCGGACGGGTAAAAGGGAAGGGGAATGGGAAAGGGTTTTTTATTGGGGAGGGTAAAATAGGGGTTTTAGTATGGGTTGCTTTCCTTTTTAAGAAAGTTGGAAGAATTAATTGGGACGACCCAAAAAGAAAAACCGGAAAAAATGACCGGAATGGAGGGAGTATTTTAATCCTACTTAGTACCATAACTCAAATCATAGTATCATACGGAGTATTTTAGAAATATGACAAAAGAAGTCATTGGCTATTGTTACAACCTACAAGTCTACAACAGGTGACTTTTTCCCTCCGGCAACCGAATATTTCTAGTTTCTAATTATGATTTGTTGTCCAGTTTCTACAAAATAATTCAACACGATCAAGGTGTTACATTAATACCAACAATGATTGTGGTATATCTTTTCTCTCTTCTTTTGACTTTCATTTAATCATAATTAAACATCAAACAAAGAAAGATTAGGACTTAATGAAGGTAAATTCTGAAGCATTTTCCTTTTCCTTTCTTCCCCACGTCTCTATTCATATTAATCATTGTATCCCAATGTCATTTGTATCTGACATGTTATTCGCGAATAGCAAGTCGCTTAATTCTTTAGTGTTAACGATTCATTAATTACTCAAAATTATTGTTTAGATATTTTCACATATAAATATCTCTATAATTGTTCCATTTATCCATGTTTGATGTCTCACTATTATTATTCTATATCATATTTGTTAACACTTGTGTGACTCTAATTCTTTTTTACTTTATTTCCACTTTATCAATTCGTTATCAATCACAGAATTCTATTTTTTTTAAAACCACACCGATGTACTCCATTCCGTTTCAATATTTGGGGGCGGAGGTAGTAAAAGGATTTAATAAAATTATAATAATGGTTCTCGTAGTAATCGTCTTACTATTGCTATGATCTTTCCTTTCCTTAAAATTACTATTTAAATGCTCATTCAACAAAAAATGTTGTTTTTAAATTTTAAGGCAAAAATAAACTACTCCGTGCGTATTATAAATGGTCAATGCACCGTTGATAACTGTGTTAGAACTTGGAAAATCTGAGAAACTTTCGGTTTCAATATATGCTAATAGTAATATTTATGAAACTTTTTTTATTAAATATCAAGCATTAAGAATAAAACTAGCAACAAACGTTTAGAAAATAAAAGAAACATGAGCCAATGAGCGTTTATAGCTCACCTTCCTCGGCAATGAGCTCATCTATAGGCTGTTTGTTTCATCAAGATTGACCTATATTATTCTATGTTTAAGTCTAGTTTCACTTTGTTTATTATATTATTAGAATAACCTATATTTTCAGAGGATTTTGAATAAAAAACTGTCAATAACCCATTTTGGAAATAATCTGAATTGAAAGTTTTAAGAGGTCAAGTTCTCATTTCAAGTATTATTGGTAATATTCACTTGAGAAACTTAAGCAAACCCATTTTTTGTTAAATAAAAAACTTCTGTTAATCAGATTTAATTAAATCAACTCTATCCACATACGACTGAAACTTGATGGTAGATCATTCTCCCACTTGAGTATTCTGTTCTATAGAGCATATATGCGACTCAGAATGGCAAACATGCAGTTATGAAGATAGCATTATAAGGACACGCTGCAGCTTTGGAAATATAATTGGGAAGAGTATCAAAACATAGAATATACCAACTGATTTAGACAGACCAGGAATTTTACACAGCCTCATTTCACTTATTTACACAAATAAAACCCTCTTTCTAACTGATTTAAATCCCAGACAAACCGCCAAAACACCAGGATATCTCTGGGTAAATTAAACAATGAATACCTCCCGGCGAGAGTCACACTTCTTGTCTTGCCGATGCGGTGCACAGACTTTTAGTTAACTACATTCAAGAAATGGATTGGAGAAGAAGGTTAAAGGACAGGGGTAGTGGGCAATCTTTCAAGGGTTTCCAAGACTTGCCTCATTGTAGGCCTCCTTTCAGGGTTGGTCTGAAGGCATGCCATGGCAATCTTCAAAACATCAATCATCTCATCTTCTTTATCAGCATCTTCGACTAGACATGGGTCCAAAACGTCCAACAGCGGCTTCTTCTCTTCTATGCAGATGTGCATCCAGTTAACAATATCCGTTTCGGATGATCCAGATTGAACTACTGCTGACCTTCCCGTAAGAATTTCCAATAGGATTACTCCATATGAGTACATGTCCCATTTCTGCGAAGGCTTAATTGTCCTAAATCCCTCGGGAGCTTGATAAGGGGTTCCTAGAGCTCCACCTGAGACTACGGTTGCCAATTCGGATGATCCAGTGCTCGGTTGTCGTTGATACTGTTTCTCCGAGGAGGCCATTCGGTTGGATATCATCATTGTCATCGAGCCTCCAGCTATGTTTGCAAGGCGTCCAAGTCCAAAGTCTGATATCTTAGGGTCCATGTTGTGTCCCAGCAATATATTTGATGGTTTCAAATCACCATGCACATATTTTTTAGGGCTCGAGTCATGTAAATAAACCATCCCCTTGGCAATTCCCCTCATTATTTTCAACCGCATGGACCATGAAAGAGGCAACGGTGTCGAGATTCCAGGTTTACCTGAATCCATTAATATAAAAAAATAATATATCATGAGAAACAAAATTCATACAAAGAAGTAAGTATAAAATTGGGTCTTATTCATCTCAAAAGGGTTCCTCAATAGGTGAGGTTAATCGATTAAATCTATGTGAAACACTAGAACACTAGGCTGAAGATATGTGTATCAGACTTACCATGAATTGCGGTGGAAAGGTTTCCGTTTGGAGCATATTCATATATGAGCAGCTTCTCGTCGGGCGACCAATAATATGCTCTAAGAGTTACAATATTTGGATGCCTTAGCTTTGCAATGGCTTCCACTTCTGTCTGAAACTCCTTATATCTTTGTGAACCACCTTCCCCGAGTCGTCTCACAGCTAAATTCAGACCACCTTCAAGCACAACTTTATACACAAGTCCAATACCACTCTTACCTAGAACAAAAGCAGATGCCTTGAGAAGCTCATCTAAATCAAAAGTCACCTGGTTATCCAGCGGGACAAGATCACATTGCTGCTCCACGTGCTCAGATAAGGTATCCGGTTCATACTTCCCGAAGCATAACAGTTCCTTACATCTCTTTCCAGAACCATGTCCATTTTCTTCTTCTCTCCTCCCACAATTACATAGTCTCGAGTAGCAGTACGAGAACAGCAGGCCTATAAGGCAAATCCCGACCACATCACTGACAATAATTGCAGCCACAACTCCTCTTCTAAGACCGCTACCGTCCTTATCAATTGTGGGTTGTGGGGGGTCATATTTGGGTCTGTGGGGGTACAATGATGGTGCGATTTGCGGGGCTACTGAAGAACACAGATTCTTTAAAGGTGGACCACATAGACCGGGGTTGTCAAGGAATGCAGTTGGCCCTCTAGTCATTAGAGCGCCATTTTGAGGAATCGGACCGCTCAAGTTGTTAAAAGTGAGATCAATGTAAACCTTCTCGGGAAGGTTACCTAGGCTTGGCGGGATCATGCCACTGAATTTATTATGAGAAAGATCAAGAGTTCCTTCCAAACGAGACAAATTTCCCAAATCCCGCGGGATCGAGCCGCTAAACTCATTGTGTGAAAGGTCTAGGTCTTCAAGTAAAGCCAAACTAACCCCTAAACCGTCCGGAAAAGACCCACTAAAATTGTTGACGCTCAAATCAAGATTCCTCAACCTTTTACACTCAATCAGAGTCGCAGGCAATGATCCGTTGAACAAATTATGAGAAACACGGAGAGTTTGAAGGTATTTAAGTCTCCCAACCTCGTACGGCAATGGCCCAGACAGGGAATTCTCGTACAGGATCAAACCTTGTAAGCGGGGGGCTTTAAAAAGACCAGCAGGCAAGCTTCCGAACAGCCTATTGCTCCTCAGATTCAGATGTCTGAGTTCAGAGAGTAATCCAAGAGAGGAAGAGATGGAACCGTAGAGATCCTTCTTGGGGATGCTCAAAGCGACAACTTTCTGGTTCTTGCAAATAATGCCATTCCAAGAACAAGGGGTTTCGTCAGAAATGCTCCAGTTAATTAGTGACCCTTCTGGGTCTTCTAGAATAGATTGCTTGAAAGAAAAAAGGGCTGTCGCTTCTTCATTCATTGAACTCACTAGGGCTCGTGAATTACAGAAAACCAATAAGAACAATGCTAAAGATAACATTTTTAACCTCTTTCAAGAATCAAGATAACCTATGTAAAGAATGGCGTCAGATGAATGTACCTCTCTGCAAATCTTCTTTGGGTACAAAACTTAATGTTAACTTGAGGAGAAGGGAGAGAGGGAGAAGAATTGGAGTTCTATGTAGAGTAAGCTTTGAAGTGTGAATTGAGCAGTGGGAGGTGGGAAGAAAAGGGGAATCCTCCAATTACACCCCACAATCTATAATTTTCATTTTTTAATTAATTAATTAATGTATAGTAACTGTGATTATTAAAAATAAATTGCGATTAAAAAAAAAGTCAAAAGAAGAAAGAAAAAGTTGGTTCCCTCCGTAGCAGGTCAAAGTGATGGGATGGAAAGACTATTTGTACAATGTACTCGACTCCTTCCTAGAAAGCATATATACTTCCTGCTCCCTGAATTAATAATTTATACTTTGACGAAGTTTAATACAAAGTCGTAAAATTATGCACTTTACTTGAATCAGCCATTTCAATTTTTTTTTGTGAAAATAAAAATAGTGGTTATTTTTAGACAAACAAGGAAAGAAATTGTAAAGACTGCGGAATCCAAAATTAGATGTTTGTAAAAGTATTGTTTGATGAGATTGGAATATCAAAGGTAATGAACAAATATAATCTTAAGATATTCGTACTAAGAAAGAAATATATTTCTTCACCAAGACGATGCATGTCGTTGGAGATATTCAAATAACAACAATTGTGATGTTTGGTGTCCGTGGTCAGTGACGGAACCAGATCATAATTTGAGGAGATCTCTTATTTTTTTTTTTTGAAAAACAATTTTTTATTAGAATAAAATAAAAACGAGTGAAAAATAATTATTAGATACATATAGAGTGAGGTTCTAATAAAAAGAGTTATTCCCATGAAAAATGAGAACGGGCGCAGTTTTTACTCATTTTGGTACACTAGTAGATATTTATTTTACATTTTTTCGCAATGAGAGAAAATTTTGATTTATTTATCAAATTGTCACCGAGTTTTTGATAAAATATAGTACATTGTTGGCTGATTTTGAGTCATCGGATCTCAAGTTAAATGCACAAGCTTTATTTTCGATCAATTTTCATGATAAGAACTCTTTTTATTTGATCCAAAGTTTATACTCCATATATATGTATATGTAGTGTGTTTGAAATAAAAATGCTTAAAAATGCACAAGATATATTAACTTAAAGTAGTTTTAGATGATAAAAAAAAACTTAAAGTAGTTTTAGAATTATTCTTGACATTAAATTAAATGACAACGTCCGATATATGTCATTATTTAAAGAAGAAGTGATAAAAAATAATTTGAATTGAAGAAATGAGAATCTAAAATAAAAGATATAGAAATTCAAAAAGTGTGATTTAAACAAATGAAAAAGCAAAAAAATATTGGTGCTCTTAAGAATTGAACCCAAGTCAGTTTGGAAGGCATAGCTCTCCCAACCTCCATCCTACCATTTGAACTATCACATTTCATTCATACAAATAACGGTTGTGCTTTAATATATAAATACTTTCTAAACCGGGGCTGAGATATACATATATACATACACAACCGCCACCGGAGAAGGGGGAGCGCCGGCACCGGCTCGCCCCCTAGTTCCGTCACCGTCCGTGGTATTGCTTTACAATGTCACTTTGTAATATAATTTCTATAATTAAATTATTATCCAAAATTTTTGTATAAAGTCAAACAATGAATTATTTATAGTATCCTCCGTTCTTTAACTCTTGCAACATTTTGACATTCACGTTTGCCAACGCACAACTTTGATTGTAATTATATTTAATTATGTATTACTACGTAGTAAACATTATAAAAATTTGATATTTTGGAAATTCACATTGATAGGAATTTAATAACATTTTATACTCCGTACGTAATAACTTGATTATGTATATTAATAGAAAATCGTGGTCAAAGTAATGTCTGTGAATAGTACAAAAATCACAATGTTGCAAGAATTAAACAACGGAAGAAGTATATTGTATTACAAATTATTCAAACAATCTCAACATGCACTCTGGAAATGTACGCGTAAATCACTAGTTATATGTTGTAGTAATAATACTGTTTGATGAGATTGACAACGAGAAATTATGTACTATCAAACGGGATCCTAATTTTAATTAAAAAATTGTTAAGAAAAAAATTTAACTAAAAAATGGTAATTCATAAAATATGACAACAGAAATTTTGATTACTAAATTAATGCTAGTTTGCAAAGGTATGTGTTGTAAACTTGTAATACTATACCACGTATTTTCTTTCTTCAACTTAACTAGTATCGTACCCGTGCGATGCACGGGACAAAATATATTGATATTTTTTTAATTATGCAATATTAATGTAAGACATATTTATTTAAGAACGTTGAAATATACTTGTGATAAAAAAGAAATATATGTTTATAAGTGATTACTCTAAATGCATATATATAAAATATAGAGTACATTACAAAAGAAACTACATATTCCGAAAAATTTCTGGACACAAAACATATATTAATATTATTTTGAGTATATTACGTATATACACAAAGATACGGGCTCACTCCACTCTCAGTCAGATTCTCCAGAACATCCCTGTCTCTCAGACTTCACATCCTCTCAGAACTCTCCAGAACTCTACACCATCTCACGCTCCCGGCCTTCTATCTGTCAACATCCGTTCGTTCGTCCACTTAAAGGTCGGAAGCATATAGGTCTTTCTTCCCATCCCCGTCTCCCCCTTTATGTCCAGGCGTAAACATCAGATAAACCACTGTATCTGCAAATTTTCTCCTGTACACCAATTTGGTTAGTCCTTTGAGGTATTACTATTTTATTTGTCATATCTATTTATTTTATACTTTCAAACTCTCTATGTTGTTACTTCTCCTAATTTGTTGCATATTTCTTGACCAACTTATACATCAAGCTTGCAAATCGGAAAAAGATGTTGCCTACATGACATCCCTGGTTGTGGGTTGATCAGCCAGGATGAGATAAGTTATAAATACAAAAATATTCTACTTTTGTTAAAATATTAGTTCTAATCTTAGATATAATCGATTGAAATGTGATTACAGATTGCTTTTGTCTATCATTCAGTTATGCATATACTGCCCCATGTATTTTACATTTAGCTTAGCTTTATAAAAATTAAACTTCTCACTTGTTTCAATTATCACTTCATATTTTATTCTATTTCATTCCGTTCCAAAAAATTGGTGTTTGTATGGCTGTTGGTGTTATTATTTATTACGGAGTATAAAATTAGGATTTCATATTTTTTGAAAGCCAAGATATTCTCTGAAACTGCTGCATTCAATTGGAAGCCGTTTTTGCATATTATGTAACATAACTTCCATTATGTGTTTAATTTATCTATAGGAATGAGTTTTTTCTTTCTACTCTATGATTATCTGCACACTGGCATGGAGCAGGTCAGTAGGATTACATTTAAGCATTTGAAATCCAATAACTAATACCATCACTATGAAAGACTTCTAAATTTGTTATCATCAAAATAACAAACTTTTGTTATGATCTCTTTTGATTTGGTTATGTACTATTCTTTATGTACTTAGTGTTCTTTTAAATGAATGAACCACGGTACTCGACAACGATTAATTTGCATTTTATGTATTTTTTTAAAAGCAGTTGTTCGGAGGAAATGTTCACTGCTCTAGTTTATATTCTATACATGCACCTTTATATTGCTCATTTGCTAATTGTTCACCTGTTGTTAGTTTTCAATTCTATTCCTTCTCACCATATTTACAGAGGTCACATGTTTTTTATCCTAAAGTATTTTTGCATTTCTAAATCAGTTTAAGTAGCAATATCAATCACAAAAAAGTAAATGAGGACAAAATAAATGAGTTTTTAACGTACCTTGATATCCTCCATTCCTCCTCTTGTTCCCAATGGCCCTGTCCCAGGAAGAACGATTGTACACTAAGTTAGTTTTTCATTGATACTTTCTTCTTCCATTTCAGTGTAATTTATAAAGTAATTTCTCATATGAGTCTGATTTTGGGCAAATGCTGCATTCGTAGGTTGAATTTAAAAGGTTGTGAAACTTGCCAATTTGAACTTCTTTTTATTAACATGCGTTGTTTTAGTAGTAAATAAATGCTTTGCCAAAAATGATGAATTTATTAAAGATACTCCTTATGTAGTAATCGAGATTTTTATAAATTATACAAAGTAATATACATGTTACACAATGCAAAATATATTTTACCATGTTTTTTTTATATTGCAGGCCAAGGTATGATCCTCTTCACTTGACATGTTTTGCTATGAAAGCCCGAACTCCATATGAACGCACCAGCCTAACTCGCAATTGCCAGTTTGTCTTGGAGGTGTTAAGCTCTTGAATGCTTTTGAACATCTTCAGCATAGTCTAGAACCGTCTGAAGCGGAATGAAAAACTCTAACAATCTTATAATGATTGAAAGTTATGAACCGAAAAAAAGCTGTAAAAGTTTATTGCTTTGCGTACTCCTAAGTTTTGATAGATTGAATTCATTTATGTCGCAGCTATATATAATGATCAAAGGGGGTTAAAACTGCATTGAGGAACTGTCATGTAGAGGACGTGCAAGTGGAGATGTAACTGACCCACTATTTCACTTTGAACGGCCCAATTAGTTGCATCTGAGAATACCCAGGAATTTGACCGTAGATGTTGTAAGAAAATCCCAATTGTTTTTGTATTGACCCATCTTTTGCCACGTGTATAATTTAATGGCCAGATTGGACATGTTGTTATCACGATTCAGCATTTATATACATAAAGATAAAGATTATATTGACACGGTGTCCACTTATTCTATAAGAAGTAAGTATGCAGCAATCGCCACGATGGAATCAGGCGGGAACAGGTTATCCCAGCCGATTCCATTGTTATATATATAAAGATTATAACTCCTAGAGGCGTCTTTGAATTTATTAGTCACATATAGGGAATCTATATTGTCACATATAAATAAATTTTCCTTAAATTAACTCCTTGAAAAATGTAGAGGTGGGTCCTTTAACCATGCTTGAATAGAAAAATTAGGGAACCTCGATTATCCCAAAGAGAGAAAAAGTTAGGGAGAATACAATAATCATTGATAGTGCTAATTAATGTTTAACCTTTTTGTTTTAAGAGTAAAATATACAGTGATCATGTGA